GTTTCACTCCATGAAGATAGTACGAAGACCACTTGTCTGTCTTCACAAAGACTCAGATCAATACGCAGTTCAGGTTGACTTTCGGTAATATAGATGAGACTCGTCATCAAGGCCTTGTTGCATTGAACTACAGTATTGACGCTGTTCCTCAGACTGATCAGCTTGCTTGACTTGTTGTCGAATCGTTTGATCAAGCTTCTAACTTCAAGCTCATGATTTAAGTCATTTTGTTGAGATTCCAGAAAGTACTCCAGTTCTCCGGTGATACTTAGCTGGTACTTGTGCTTCCACTGATATGGACAGCTTCCAATGGTTGTTCTTAAGATGATTAACTTCTGAGAAGCCTCAGACAGGCTATCTTCGTTCAAGGGGTCATCACAACACTACAAACATCTCAAATATGACTGTGGTTGAAACACTCTTGACTGAGATAATTCCATCACTTCACTCTCCATGAAAAGGATTTATATCCTCTTATATACTGTACTACACAAATATTAGTGTAATGGAGATAAATGATAAAATAAACCAGAACTTTATAAAATCTTTTACTATGTGGCATGAACCAGTTAGACAATTCTGGTTCAATAATGATATGAAAAGATACTTACAGTATTATGTGAATCGTGTTTTGAAAAAAAAAAACAAAAAAATCTTATGTGAATCTTCATTGAAGAACCAGAGATTCTTCCGATGATTTGAAATATGTTACTTGCTCATTAGATAAAATGGTAGTACGGTTTTCACTAACCAAAAGAAGTTATTGGCATGAATAAAGGAGATGTTGGTGGACTGATCACCCACTATGCATCTTTAGAATATTGGTGAATTCACATCTTCAGTCTTTGAAGATTATATTAAATTCACTAGGATAAGTATTAAAAAAATTGAGGAATATTAATTTGCATCAAGCCAACAAGTAATCACTAGTTCTCCCCATCATTGGTATTGGGTCAGAAACCAACCATCTTTGTTTAAGAGTTTTGGATGTGCAATTTACTTTCCAGTTGCTCACACAGAGCTTAACTAAGATGTGTATTTAAATGAGGTTGAGAATATATGTTGGATATGAATCTCCATAGATATTTAAGAATCTAGATCCATCCCCGAAGATAAGTCTTAATATGAATGCTAAAAGTGAATTAGTATTTCCAGCATAAAGGGGAGAAAATAAAAAGCCAGAAAAGAAAATAAGTTGATATGAATTAGCATTGATCCTCAGGCTAAAGCGAATGTAAAATAGTAGACCAAAAGATATTTTAATTATATAGCTTAGTAAACCAGTTGCTAGACATATTTACTGACTTAGAAAAATAGATTGATCAAGTCACATATACCTAATATGCTATGTATTTTATCCATTTTAGCCATGGTATATAAATGTTTACTATATAATTATTATGTTTAAGAGTCTATATAGCATATTTATAAGTTCATGAGTGATTTGGAAAAAAAGTGATGATTTTGGAGTCCTTCTGGAGACAAAGAGAATTTCACCCGAGCTGACCATCTAGCAGGCCGAGAGATCAACATTAGGAGATCATGATCGATCGATGCACACCTCGTGACATCGATGGATGGGGATAAAACGCAGAGACACGTTTTTGGCTCAAACGGTTTGGAACCCAAGTCTTCACCAAATTATAATTCTACCCCTGAGGAGTTTTAACCTAAGTATATTAGCTTTGCCATTGTGTTACCGGCAAAGAGAGCTTTTGTTATTCTTATTTTCAATACCTAAAATAGAGAGAGAGTTTTGGAGAGAAGATTTCAAGACTTCTACAAGCTTGTGATTGAACTCCATTGATTTATCTATGCAGTTTTTTTATTTTTTTATTGTCATGATTTGCTTTGCTATGTCTGAGTAATTCTATTGTTATATTTAGAGTTCAAATAGGTTATGAGGGATTAGCCTAAATATAGAATTGTTAAGTTGTGGTATTCATCAATAGGATTGATCTTAATGCTTGTGTTCTAAAGTAGCTAACTAGAACCCTGATGATTGAATGATTAGAACTGATCCTGATTAAACTAAGATTGCTAGAAACATGGGACATCTGATCTAGCAAGCCTAGTGAGCATTATTCAACCCGCGCATAAAGCTTGCATCTAGAAGTTGATCGATCCACATTCATACCGAATCGTCTATCAACGTTTGCAAAAGGTGTATCGATCGATACTCCAATAGAATCATAGATCGACTCTTTCTATTGGTCAAAATTGCGACAGCTGAGATCAATAGATCTAGTCATTAGACGGTCTAAAATGTGATACACAGATGGACTGTACTCTAGTTGAACTCTAACATATCCTCCAACTTAAACCACTATATCTTCATAATCCTGATTACTTGAACAGAGACCCTGAGTCTAGCTACCTTCCTAGTACCGTTACAACCCACTTCAAACCAACTGAACAACTACCTTGTTCACAACTGTCTTTTAATTTAAGCACTTTCAACCTAGATTAAACCCTGATTAGATATATTGCGTACCCTAGCTCCTTGTGGATTCGATCCCTAAGTACTATAACTGAACTTCTTATTTGAGAGAGTATAAGTTCACTTCTTAGGGTAATTTGAGTGACTTATTTAGCACCACATCAATACCAGCTGTAAATGCTCCAATAAAAATTGATGTTCTAGAAGAACAATATCAAACTGCTAGTCACGCCTGAAGCGAAGTAGACATCATTGTTCCAAAGATAAGAATTCTCGTAAATGAAAAGGAGCATATTGAAAATGGTCAACACAAGGAAATAAAGTTTTGAATGATCTCCAGAAGAGACATTAAACATGACTCAAAAGAAATTCAGGTACCTGAGACAATGAAGAGATCTCGATAAGTTATGTCATGCATGAAATCAAATGAAACCAATAAGCAAATCGATGTCGATGATATTTATGCGTGCAATGTAGCAGTTGATATGATGTATGAGAAATATGATCACGAATGAAATTTCATTTAAAAGTGTACACAAAGAAGTAATAGACAAAGATTGAAACTCTTACGAAAGAGAGAAGTATATGGACCAGTAGTCCATACACTAAAAGGTGTAAAACAAGTATAAATGAGCCGTTGCACCAAGGAAAGATCAATATAAATTTGATTATGAAAAGACATAGTCTCATGTGGTAAATGCAATTATCAGTCTGGCAATAAAAGAAGAACATGAATTATATGAACCACTGAAAAATAATAATCACTAAAAATAAAAAAAATGAAGGCTTGATGATATCAAAACCATGTTCACGGGAACTGTAGCTATTCGATCGAAATATGCTTATGGGATATATGAAATATTAGAAGTTAATCAATAAACTATTTGTATTTATGCAGAAATTATAGATCAATTTATATTTGAATATAATCAAAACTCCTGAAGAGTTATAGAAAATTATACTTTGAAAGAAATACTTTTATGTATTCCAACTAAAAATGAGATGTTATCTTAAAATATCCTTAAAGAATTTTTATATGCTCATATATGTTTGTCTTGAAGTACCATATTTAAAGTGTATTTGAGGAAAGTTACTAATATTTTCTAGTGATTGAAAGAGGTTCATGTGACTATAAAGAAAGTCATAAAAGTAACTTTATAAGAACATGAATAACTCGTATGTACAAAACATATGATTAGACGAGTGTATGTAAAGATATTTTGGCTTAAAGTCCAAATATACCAGTAAATTTTTGTCGATGCCAAAAGATAATTATGGACCAGAAGTCTAAAGACATAGATATTATAATAGAAATCAAATAGTTTGTTCTGCTACACTCATTTGGTTGGAGATGCCCTAACACTAACAAATAGCACTATAAAAGCTCAGCCTTTCAAGTTACAGTTTGGTACTCATCATTCCGAGCTACAAGATTTAGCTATTTTCAATTGTATGTCTGACAAGCGAGTCCCCTAATACTCTCTTTTTTTCTTAGATGACCGTTGTCGAGTGTTAGGGCATATACATCAAAGGATCAAGGGAGGATCAAGGGAGAGGATCACACGCATCGCAAAAAAAAAAAATAATAAAAAAATTGAACAGTGTTGAACCCGAACCCCAACACCTCTTCCCCATGAACCCGGATCACAACTGTTCAGCGGGCCCCACGCCACGTGGCGGCCCGCTATTGGTCCGTTTAATTTTTTTTTTTTTTTTTAAAAAAAAACAAACGAAAAATAAAAAAAAATAATAATAAAAAAATCAAGTTATGAACCCCATGTTGGGGTTCATTAATGCACATGCCCTTATGCTGGGTTTCAAAAAATGGATCCTCCGGACAGCAGCTCAAAACTGCCACATGCTTTTACATCCAAACTTGTTGAGAAATAGATATATATATATATATATATATATATATATATATATATATATATATATATATATATATATATATATATATATATATAATATTCACATATATACATATTCACAGATTCTCATTGGTGCATTGATGTCTTTACAAAGAGTATATCTTCCCTTTTTCATAAGCTGACGATTCGTATTGATACTCACACAACGTTGACGTTTCTTTAAAATGAATCCAAATAAAAAGATTTGTTAAGTTACCAAAATGGCTGAGCAATCACAAAGTCTCTAAAACAATCGATTAAAAGAATCATGCGTTCTGAGGATTGAACCATAGCAGATGAGAATCGAAACAAGAAAAAGAATTCAAGCAAACTGCCATTTCGCAGGATCGAGAATGCTTGCTTACTTCAAAATCTTTACTCTGTGTTGTTGATATAACAGTTACAGAAAACCTCACATGATCTTTTTAACACAAGTCTAAACGATCAGATTGATATATCAAACGCAGATGCTAACATTCAATGCTGAAATTACCATTACCAAACAAGAAACTCAGAACTAAGTAGAGAATCTGGAAGTTTTAGAAACACACAAAAGTTACATCTTTTCTCAACGATCGATCTTAAACTAGAGAGCCCTTAAACTAGAGAGCCCACAGCAGTACCAAATTGAAAAGTGATCTAAAACAACTCTAATGGAGATAGCCAGGGATCTTAATACGGATAAAAAGCATACTCATAACATAACCCATCACAATTGCTGACACTCCCGCCGTAGCATACGAAGCCTTCACACTCTTGGCTCGATTCTTATCCAAAGCCAGATCCAACATTATAATCACGATCCCACCCATCACGAACATGAACCCCGACGAAAGACCTTCGATAATATACTGCCCGTTGACCCGACCCGACATGATCACCACGGGCCTTATCGCCCGGTGACTTGATCCTGGCTCTGAATCGAAACCGGGAGAGGAAAGTCGAGAGGCGGAGACAACTTCCTGGAGATATTCAAAACAGAGAGAGGAAGGCTCTGAATCGAAACAGAGAGAGGAAGGCTCTGAATCGAAACAGATAGAGCAAAGTCGAGTGGCAAAGGAGACAAAACTGTTCCTGGAGATCTTCGAAACAGAGAGAGGAAGGGGAAGAATCGAAACCGAGAGAGAAAGGGAGAGTGGCGGAGGAGACGACAGTTTTGTCGGGAACCGGAGAGAATGTGAGAGTGGCGGAGACGACAGTTTTGTCAAATCACCTTCTTTATTTTTAATTTAATTATTACAGCCTCTAATGGGTTTTAATGGATAGACATGCTCTAACCACCTAATAAAAGCACCTACACATAAAATAATATATTTATATATGAGAAAATTATTATAAAGTTATAGAAAAGTTGGTATAATACTAGAATAATATACATTTTCTAAAAATTAAAAAAATATTTTCAGACTCCTAGTAAATTACAATAAACACCCTTGTTTAATTTTAGTAACATTGATACAAATTTTAATTATTAAATCCATATCATAATTAGGCAATCCACGTCACTAATTTGTGTCATCAACAATTACACTAGAAAATCAACCGTCCCATGTCTCCGGTGAATAAAAAAAAAAGTTATAATGTCACAACTCCTTCGTCACAACTTTCGTTAAAACCCTAACCGAGTACGAAATCATCTTCGTCACAACTAATACTCTCGTTTAGAACTGTTTCCGATATCATAAATCATCTCCGTTATCATCTTCATCGACCTCGTTAAACCCTAACCGTCTCCGATATCATCTTCGTCGACATCCTCTTCTCCGTAAAAGTTTCGACGCAATCGTATCTACGACATCATCTTCTCTGGTATGTTGTGGCTGAGTTTGATTTACGACGTGACTGAGTTATAGATTATGTTGTAACTGAGTTATTGTATAGTGTGGCTGAGTTGAGTTTGATTTACGTTGTGAAAGTATAGTTTTCCATTTCGACTAAGTTATAGGTTATGGTGTGGCTGAGTTATTGACTATGTTTTGGCTGAGTTATTGATTATTGTGGCTGAGTTATAGATTATGTTGTGGCTGAGTTATAAATTATGTTGTGGCTGACTTACTGATTGTGTTTTGGCTGAGTTATTGATTATGTTTTGGCTGATTTATTGATTATGTTTTGGTTGAGTTTTGTTTCTATTACGACTGCGTTATATAGTGGCTGGGTTATTTATTATGTTGTGGATGAGTTTTGTTTCTATTGCGGCTGATTTATATATATATATATATATATATATGTGTGTGTTTTAGGATCAGATGGCTATTTCTGAAGATCAAGCACGGGATTATCCTCCACGACTTTACGCTGAAAGGGCTTTTAATGTAGAAAATAAAGAGATTAATCACGATTTGCAAATGGGAGATTTCTCTAACGTCAGAGAAGCAATATGACGGGATGTGTGGGATCACATGAGGCAGGGTCCTCTTGGAGTTATTGTTAAGCTAGCTGAATGCAAAAGCGTGTGGTCTGCTAGGACTGTCCACTATCTACTATGTCGACAGCTTCGAGTATACAAGAAGGAGATTTGGAGTCTAGTTGGTGATGAACCTATCAGATTTAGCTTACACGAATTTGGTGAGATCACTGGGTTAAACACAGATCCAGTGCCAACAGAAAGTTTTGAACATGGCCAATACAAAGCGTTTTGGGAGGAGATGAATCTGCCGCTTGGGGTGGGACCCAAGTTAGATGAACTGAGGGCACCATTAGAGGTATGTCCAGCCTAGAGTTTTGAAAAGCGTAAATGGTTAGGGCTGTTACTTCTTTAAGCCATGGGACTTTATGCTTTGCATCATAATTCTAGGATACCGTTTGAAAGTGCAAAAAGAGTATTCGACGATGAAGCCATGATGACGTATCCATGGGGTTGGACTACATATGAAGTTCTTATTGACTCTATTAAGATGTTGAATCCACAAGGAAGGACATACATCATAAGCGGTCTGAAGGACGTGTTATTGGTTTGGGCGTATGAATCTATCACTTATTTTGGAGAGCGTTTTGGGAGAGTGGTCAATGAGCAAGAAGTTCCACTTTTTCGATGGGGTGGAAAGCGTACACGTTCAAGTTTTGATACTTTCATTACTGAGGAGATTAGAGAACATGGCGAGGTAAGGCTGGGTGTTTTTGGTATTTGATGGCTGAGTTAGTATGTATATAGTGGCTTGGTTTTTTTGTATTAGTTATCTGATGGCTGAAATAGTGTTTATATGGTGGTTGGGTTTTTGGTACTTTGTGTCTTAGTTATTAGTTATTTTATGGCTGAGTTATTAGTTGTTTTATGAACACATCAAAATAGTATTAAAGCACAAAAAACCCAGCCACCATATAAACACTATCTCAGCCCCTTGGTTTTAATTATTTGATGACTGAGTTAGTATGTATATAGTGGCTGAGTTTTTTGGTATCAGTTATTTGATGGCAGAGATAGTGTTTATATGGTGGCTGGGTTTTTGGTACTTTGTGGCTGAGTTATTAGTTATTTTATGGCTGAGTTATTAGTTTTAATGGCTGAGTTATTAGTACTTTGATGGCTGAATTATTATGTATTTGGTGACTGGTTTTGTAGGTGCGCATGAGAAAAATGGTTATGAAGGACTCCGTAGAAGAGATGTTTCCTCAGTGGCCGGGTGAAGCAGATGACCCGCAACTCATTAACTTGAAAAGATAAATATATACAGGTCGGCTTGTTAGAGGTTTTTGGGGAATACAGATGAAACGCAAACAAACAAAGGCTGGTGTTTCGTCAAAGGCTGAGCCACCCATTAAGGCAAAAAGAAATTAAGCAGCTTCCAAAAGGATGAAGCTGTTGTGGAGGGAAAGGGTACTTACGAGAAGGAAGGTAAGGATGATATTGGGAACAATCCGATATTGTTGAGATTAATGTATACTCTGGATAGAATTGCCTCAAAAATAGACAGCTACAATAACAGATTCAAAAACTTCGAAGTGCGGTTATCCAGATACCGAGTCCAGAGATACGAACATTGCTGATTTAGTCAGAGTTACAGTGGAGTAATACTTCTCTAAAGTTTTCGAACAATCTTTACCGTTGCCATCACCATCACCGCCACCGCCGAAGTCTTTTCCGCAGCACTCAGTCAATAGTCCACCTGCTAAGGCCTCTATCAATAGTCCACCTGCTAAGGCCTCTGTCAATATTACACCTGCTAAGACCGTGAAAAAGAATTTGGTTGACGACGTTGATTTCGTTGGTATTTCTCCTGCAAAGGCCCTAGCCTTAGGACCCGGAAACAGGGTAAGGTTAAAACTAAAAGAAGATGAAGTTAAAGAGAAGGGCAAAGAGGAGGCTGAGTTAGCAAAGAAGGAGGCGGCTCCTAAAAAGAACGAGGCGGCTGAGTTAGCAAAGAAGGAGGCATCTTCTAAGAAGAACGAGACGGCTGAGTTAGCAAAGAAGGAGGCGTCTCCTAAGAAGAAGAAAACGGCTGAGTTAAGAAAGAAGGAGGCGTCTCCTAAGAAGAACAAAACTGCTGAGTTAAGTAAGAAAGAGGCGGCTGAGTTAAGGAGAGAAAACACGGCTGAGTTAAGGCAACAGAAGGCTGAGGAAAAGAAGGCGGCTTAGTTAAAGAGGAAAGAGAAGGCTGAGTTAAAAAAAGGTTGAGAAGGCTGAGTTAAAGAAACAGGTCCCAAAAAGGGTGACGTGTCGTGGTTTAATAACAGTAAATGTACCTCAGCAGAAAAAGCTTCAAGCCGACAGTGAGCTTGCAGATGTTACTGACGAATTTTTCGCATCACAAAACAAATTGCTTCTGAAGTCTGATGTGGAGGAAGAGGATAGGATCAGATCCGAAAGAATAAATCAATATCGGGAGAAAAATGTTCAGTTATCTGCAACTGGGTATGCATCGCAAGTCGCTGATAATGCTCCTTTAGCACCAGTTTTTCCGCACATTAGAGACAATGGAACGACATGCATGAGGAAGAATTTTTAACCTTCACAAGTAATATATTATCCTTTAGCATCGGTTGATCCAGCAAAATTGGATAAACTTAAGGAACACCTAGAGAAACATAAGGACATTCCCACTTCAAAAACAGCATCCCATGAGGGTGAGTTCTACAGAATCATCGTCACGCCAAGACCGTGGCCAGACAACCAATATAGATGGTTGTATGATGATGTAAGTATTCCTTACGGCTGAGTTATATATTTTATGTGGCTGAGTTACGTGTTCTTTACGGCTGAGTTAAGTATACAATGTGGCTGAGTTTAGTATTCTTTGTGGCTGAGTTAAGTATACAATGTGGCTGAGTTTAGTATTCTTTGTGGCTGAGTTAAATAGACTATGTGGCTGAGTTTAGTATACTATGTGGCTGAGTTATGTGTTTTTTTCGGCTGAGTTATAGATTCCTTTATATTAACTTGATTTTGTGTTTTTGGATAGCATGTTAATGCGTTTATGCGAGTCCTCATCAAAAGTTCCATGCGAGATCCCACCCACTTCTGGTCCAAGCGCATTGTATTTATTGACGTCTGGTTTCTCAGTGTATGGGTTCACGATTACAAGCAGTATAAGCTAAATCCGCCGTGGTTCAAATTCAAAAATAATGGAAATGAAGAGTTAATAACGGTAGGATACCCATAGATTTTTGTACAAACTTGAAATGGTATGAGGAAGTGGATCACCTGTACGGAGTGGTTCAAACTTCAAGCGATCACTGGGTGGCGTTTCAAATGGATCTGCTTAAGGAGAAGATTGACTGTTATGATCCAATCATTGGACAGGTAACACCCGAAAGTGAACAGAGAATTATAGATGCATTTAAGACTATTACGCAAATGCTACCTTCGATTTTGAACTAAAATATTCCTGCCAATCTCCGAAAACCCAATAAGAAGCAGTTTGCGTTCCGAAAGAGGAAAGGAAAATACATTCCACAAAATAGCCAAGTTGGCGATTGTGGAGTGTATGCATTGAAGTTTGTGGAATGCTTAGCGCTTGGCGTGACTTTTGATGGGATAAATGATAAGAATATTCAAGGTATACAGGTGAAGATGGCAGCAGAGATCCTCGATGAGGTAGGAAATGACATGTATGAACAATTTATGTAGCCTTTGAACGATTTGTATTTGATTTTTGTTTAATATAACCCAGCCGAATCATATTTATAACCCAGCCATCTCGTTTTATATAACTCAGTCATGCTTCAAACAAACCCTAAAATCGAAAAAGTTTAATATAACCCAGCCGCATCGTTTTTATAA